ACACACACACACACACACACACACACACACACACACACACACACGCTCACGTACACAAATATATCATGATGTATTGATACACGGTACATATTGTCATGACAGTCATTGGTACTCTTATATCCAATATTATGTAACACAACTAAAAAAAACACAAACAAAATTTTGTTTAAAAATATACACACACAAAAAAGAACGTATTTACCTTGTTGTTTGGTGCTGCAATCACACTGTCCGTTCTGACAGACTCCGTGGTGGCTGTTCCCACATACAGGTGGATGACAGTCGTGGTCAGCGCTGCATGAGGTCGAGCTCGAGGTCGTGGTCGCTACGGTTGTGTCTTAATGGGGAAAAACAACAAGATTTTTGTTAATTTCATCTAACTTTGATACAAAAACGTTTGTGTAACAGATAACATGGTTGTGGTTTGCTTGAGGGGAGACAGAGAAAAGTTTTGGACAAACCGTTACTTTGTAGAAGCTGACTTCGATTACTGATCTCGCTTTACCTGTCTGTATAATTAATGTATATGGGGGCTCTCGTGCTCTAGAGTTTACGGTGTTCTCCTCTCATTTAATGGGGTCCAAGGTTTGAAACCTGACAACGACGGGAAATTTTCTTCTCTAATAATGTTCTCCTTTCACCTCCTTTTCTACTCTCTAATTATGCTCTATCCTCTTCTTTCATTTTAAAATTCTGCCCCCCACCCGCCCACCCTCCCACTCTTTGCCCCCACCTCAGGGCTCCTGGCTCTGTCTGCAACCATTTTATTGCTATTCCTTATCTCCTTCTTTCTGCTGTCTTTCAGCCACACCCCTGATCTTATGGTAGGTAAGATCTAACACCTTGCCTTCTCGGATAAGGGCGATAAATCTCGAAGGGCCTGTGTGCTATTTGAGATCCCTTGGTTCTAAAATCGATAAGAGTAAGCTTTGATCGCCATTGGGACAAAATTCAAAGTTCCTATCAAAACTGAAAATATAGCATGTTTCCGGCGCGCTCAGATGACCTTATGCAGTTGCTTGCGCCGTAAAGCACTTTCCAAAAAAAGTATGTATGTATGTATGTATGTATGTATGTATGTATGTATGTATGTATGTATGTATTTATGTATGTATGTATGTATTGTATGTATTGTATGTATTGCATGTCTTGTATGTATTGTATTGTACTGTGTTGTATTGTATTGTGTCTATTGTGTGTATTGTATTGTATTGTATGCATTGTATGTATTGTAAGTGTTGTATATTGTATGTATTGTATGTATTGCATGTATTGTATGGATTGTATTGTATGTATTGTACGTATTGCATGTATTTGATTGTATTGTATAGTACGTACTGTATGTATTGTATTGTATGTATTGTATTGTATTGTATTGTATTATATTGTATGTATGTATGTATGTATGTATGTATGTATGTATGTATGTATGTATGTATGTATTTTATGTATTGTTTGCTTGTATGCTTGTTTGTTTGTTTGCTTGTTTGCACGTTTGCATGTTTGTTTGTATGTATGCACGTCATTATGAATATGTTCATGTTTGTATATTTACCTTGTTGTTTGGTGCTGCAATCACACTGTCCGTTCTGACAGACTCCGTGGTGGGTGTTACCACATACAGGTGGGTGACAGTCGTGGTCAGCGCTGCAGGAGGTCGCTCTCTTGCCTACGACGGGATCTTTTTTAAAAAGATGAATTCTAGTTAATTTTACTATTTTATTGTTATACAAAAACGTTTGTGCTGCTGTTGGCCTGCTTTTGATTTGTTTGAGGGGAGACAGAAGAAAGTTTGGTCAAACTTCATAGAAGTTAGCTGATTATTGACTTTACTTTGTCTCTCTGTCTGAGTGGATATAGGTGTGTGCGTCTGTCTGTATATACGTATGTGTGTATGTACCTGTGTATATGTTCATATATCTCTTTCGCTCTCATTTTTTTATCTCTATAAATATTGATCACTCTCTCTCTCTCTCTCTCTCTCTCTCTCTCTCTCTCTCTCTCTCTCTCTCTTTCTCTCTCTCTCACGCCCCTCTCTCTCCCTCCATTTCTCTCTCTGTCTGTCTTTCTCACACATAGACATGAACAAACACATTCTCTCTCTCTTAAACACATACACACACAGAAACACACACACACAACAATGAACACACACAGACACACACACACACACACACACACACACACACACGTACATAACAATGAACACACACGCGCGCGCACACACACACACACACACACGTATTATATGTATAGATACACAGCGCATCACTTCTTGACCTCTGTTGCTACTCATATTTACAATATTATGTAACAGAACTAAAAAAAAACAAGCTAAAATAAAAAGATATACAACAAAAAAAAGAACTTATTTACCTTCTTGTTTGGTGCTGCAATCACACTGTCCGTTCTGACAGACTCCATGGTGGCTGTTCCCACATACAGGTGGGTGACAGTCGTGGTCAGCGCCGCACGAGGTCGAGTTCGAGGTCGTGTTCGCTACAGTTGTGTCTTAATGATAAAAAAAAAACAAGATTTTTGTTTTAATCCAATTTTGATACTAAAATGTTTGTGTAACAGTTGATCTGGTTGTGGTTTGATTGAGGGGAGACAGAAAAGTTTTCGACAAACTTTGTGCAAGCTGACTTCGATTACTGATCTCGCTTTGTCTGTCTGTATATTTTATGTACATGGGGTGCTCTCGTCTCTAGGGTTTACGGTGTTTGCCTCTCATTCAATGAGTCCCGGATACAAAACCGTTCTCTAATAATGTTCTCCTTTCACCTCCTTTTCTACTCTCTAACCATGCTCTATCCTCTTCTATCATCTTCACTTTCTGCCCCCCCGCTCTCCCGACCTTTGCCCCCTCCTCAAAGCTCCTGGCTCTTTCTGCTGCTATTTTATTGCTACTCCTTGTCTCCTTTCTGATGTCTTTCAGCCACATATTCATGTATGTATGTATATGTGTATGTATGTATTTTATGTTTGTATGTATGTATTTTATGTTTGTATGTATGTATGTATGTATGTATGTATGTATGTATGTATGTATGTATGTATGTATGTATGTATGTATGTATGTATGTATGTATGTATGTATGTATGACA